AGTAAGGGGATCTTAACCCCTGACTTGGTGTTGTCAGCACCACGCTCTCCCAAGTGAGCCAACCGGCCATCCCTATATAGGGATCTGAACCTGCGGCCTTGGTGTTATCAGCACCGCACTCTCCTGAGTGAGCCACGGGCCAGCCCTTAGAGATGAAGTATGTGGGAGGATGTGCATATGTTATATGCAAATACTGTGCCATTTTATATCAGGGACTGAGCATCCACAGATTTTGATATCCTCAGGGGGTTCTGGAACCAATCCTTTACAGATACTGAGGGATGAGTGTGTAGACTTGGTTGGACAGGGATTAGAATCAGATGAAAGGCCTAGGTGGGAAGAAATCACTACTTGTCTTTTTTGAGGTGACATAGAGAAAGAGGAATACAGTGGGACAGCACAGGATTCTTAGGAATGGGAGACCTCAGTTATGCCCTACACTAGAGAGGGCCTGGATTTCTGATTTTGGTGAAAGGAAGGCTTACAACTTGTACCCTGAGTGCTACTGCTATGATCCTAGGAGAAGGTGGGCTCAGGGCAAATCAGATAGGACAGCAGGAATGACTTTTTCATGAGGTCTTAGGTAGATGTATGTGCATATATCCTCTTGTCTGCCATGCAGCAGTGGGTGGACGATGTGCCCTCTGTACCAAGTCCCAGGTCCAGACTCACCAGCTTTAGCGTGGCCTTAAACCTGTTCATATGAGTGCCCGTGGGGGTTCATGTGACATTGTGCTGTGAGCTTTTGTTCTGTGTTTTGGTGGATATGACACAATGTCTTATATATACTTTATTATATATGTATTGAGTGTATCTCTTTGTTCATCTGTGGTTGCTTATGCCTGGGAGTATTAGTGTTTGCTTATACATGTAGGTGGTTTTGTTAAAGGCATATTTGTATCATATGGGAGATCATATGGTTAGAGAGTGAAGAGGAAGGGTGTGAAAAAAAACATGTGAAAATCTGTAAGGGCTTATGTATATGTGGGTAGTTCCAGTGTTTTCAAACTAGATTGTGAAGACTTCATTATTTATTTTTTTCTTCTCTTAAGTTGCCTTTTTATGGCCTATTTTTTTTTAAATAAAAATTTAAATTTGGCAAATCATAGGAAAGAAATTCCTCTTTTTTTTTTAAAGTGTTTGTATTCTTTCTAATAAATATTTAATGTTAATGGGAATGGCGTGTCCCAGCAATTCATTCTATACTTTCTTGGAAAGCTGGCATTCTAGATTAAGACAGTGTTTTATTTTTAAAGTTTTAATTTTATTTTTAGGTTTTATATTTAAATTGTTAAAGTTCTAAATTCCTAACACTCTATCTGTGTAGGATTGCTCTCTCTATGCAACTTTATTACTCCTTCTTTGCTTCTGAATTTTTTTTTTCCTTTTTGTCTTTTTTTCATGACTGGTAACGGGATCGCAACCCTCAGTGTCACGCTCGTACCGTGACCGGCAATGGGATTGCAACCCTCGGTGTCGCGCCCGCACCATGCTCAACCAGTGAGTGGACCGGACTCTATATGGGATCCGAACCCTCGGCGGGAGCGCCGCCGCGCTCCCAAGCACCGCACTCTACCGAGTGCGCCACCGGGCTGGCCCCTGCTTCTGAATTTTTTCTTCCACCTTGGGAGCAGGAGAGACTCTTATTTATTCTACTGCAGCAGCATACTAAAGTGGGGACTGCAAGCATTCTTTGAACCAGTGAAATGGCAGCTCTGAAATTGTTCTTTACTTCATCACAGGGTTTTTTTGTTGTTGTTTTGCTTTTGCATTTTTCGAAACTGTTATTTAGTAATCACAGATCAGTTAGATTTTTTAAAACTTTTTTCCTGGTTATTAAATTAGTAAAAAAAAATTGTGAAAAATTCAGAGGGCTGGCCAGTTAGCTCAGCTGGTTAGAATGTGGTGTTATAACACCAAGGTCAAGAGTTTGGATCCCCCGTACCAGCCAGCCACCAAAAAAAAAAAAAAACCCAGAGAAGTATAAGGAAGAAAGTATCACTCACCTATATTCCTGTGATTGGTTAGAATGTGGTGTTATAACACCAAGGTCAAGAGTTTGGATCCCCCGTACCAGCCAGCCACCAAAAAAAAAAAAAACCCAGAGAAGTATAAGGAAGAAAGTATCACTCACCTATATTCCTGTGATTGAGTGGACAGTATCGATCAGAGGGAGGAATTCAGAAGGGGAATTTATTTTTTATAAGAGAAAGAAGGTGTCAAAGTTAGTGAGCATAGATAGAATTCAAAGAAACCTTGCAGGTCAGCCAGACCTGGGGTAGGGGTGGGGAGGGAGAACTAGGAGAAAACAGGCAGAACTGTGGAATGGTTTGCATTCTTCTGGCAACTGAATTGAGAGGAGCCAAGAACGTAGTGGGCATCTGGCCAAGTAAAGTTCAGTGCAGTTAAGGTCTTGGTCAAGGCTAAGTATGTGTGTGCCCAGTCCCTGGTTACTCTGGCAGTGGGATCCCTTCCTAGGCCAATGGCATTTTGATGAGAAAAATCTCAAGAATATTCCAAAATTAGTAATTAATTAGAGGAGAAGACGCAGAAGCACTAGCTAGCTCCATCTTAAGAGGAGGAGTGGGGAAGGGTTTGAGCCAAAGACAAAGACTATAGACGGAAAGAATCTGTATTATGGGTAAAACAGTTGACTTGAACTTGCTCCTTAGAGAGTGCTTCCGGGTATGACTGGCAGCTGCTTCTTCCATAGACTTTGGTTAGTTTAAGTGTTGGTAATAAATTGTATAGATACTTGTCTATGCTGTCCTGCCTTTTCTCCTCAATGTCATTGTCTGAAAGGATCTGCAGACTGGGAAAGTTGGCCATTTCTCATCTGGAGGCTTATATAAATTGCCTAGGATTGGGGTTGTGGCTCAGATAGCTATTCCTGCCCTTTCTATCATCCAGGAGGTGTTGGGCCTTCCTGGTGAGAGAATAAGGAATCAGTACCTACTACCTTCAATTTTTTATCTAAGCCTAAATTGTGAGTCTTACTGGACCTGTAAAGTGAAGTGACACTAGGCCTGTCTTTGTTCAGTGCTGTGCATAGCAACTAATTATGAGGAGATAGTACCTCAGACCTTTATTATCTAGCTTTGTGATATCTTTGATCTTGTAGGGAATTATTACAAGGTAAGGCAGGCACATTTATTCACAGAAGACATTTGACATCTTGTTTCAACCTAAACAATTTTAATGGAAAAGAAGCAAGTTGGTCTGAATTTGTATTTGTTGTATGGGTGGCCACAGTGGCCTCTACATGATTTCCTTGATGTCTTTCCTTTGACTGTGTTGGAATAATCTTTCTAAAATACCACATTGGTCACCAGGTCACAAATTTGCTTTAAAAACCCATCATTGTTTTTCTTATCAAGTCTGAATTTATCTTTCAGGATGCTCTGTGACCTGCGTCCACCCTGTATAACCTTAAAGTCGGTTTTAACTTTTTCCTTTGTATCCTGGGTACGTTTTTTTGCTCTTCCAGGAATTCCTCCCTTCTTCTCTCTACTTACACAAATCCTCCCTAATCCTCACTGGCCAGTGCAAGGCCTCTTTCTTTCCCAAAGCCTTCACAAACCTCCCTGTTCACTCTTCTTTAAACTCCTACAGCCCTCACAGTTTTGATTACACAATGTCATACTTCGTTATAATTGGTCTTGTACCACGTGACTTCTTGGAGTGTGTTAGCTTTCATTCCTCTGATAGGAGTATATTATCTTTGAGAGAAAGTATCTTCTGTATGAGGGTACTTCCAAAAGTTCAGGAAAATAGAATTAAGAGATAATACGAATCTTTCCATGAACTTTTGGAAGTACCCTTGTATTCTTCCTGTAACACGTAGCACATAGTAGGCACTCATATTTGTTACTTGGTGATGTACATGATGAGCTCCTTACATCCCTTTTCCTTGGACACACTATACATTTTGAAATTATATCAACAGATCAGTGTATTATTAGTTATGGCTGAGTATGCTTGTCATTGCAGTATGATTACATTTGGAGTCTGTTTGTAGAGAGGTTTTGTTTTAGGTCCATGTTTGATGTTGATGTAAGTTAAGCTGGATTATGCTTATAAAGTAATAAGCAGTATGAGAATATGTTCTTGACCTCCTCTGCAGTGTATGCCATCCGAGAAGCTGCTACCAACAACCTCATGAAACTAGTTCAGAAATTTGGTATAGAGTGGGCCCAAAATACCATCGTTCCCAAAGTGTTAGTAATGGCAAATGATCCTAATTATTTGCATAGAATGACCACTTTGTTCTGCATTAATGTAAGTATTACATAACTATTATTGCTAAGCTCAAACATTATAGCAATTATTCACAACTGTATTTCTGAATTCTGAATATAGTGTCATCTATTTTGAATATATTTTTTATGCTAATTTGACAGAAGATGAGAGAATTTAAAAATTCATGTTAAAATCTATAGTAGTATTTTTAAAGTTGCAATTTAGTTGTGAATTCTGGTCTAACTTTCTGATTCTTTGAATGATTTTTTGTGTCCCTTATTCAGATGCTCAAATTAGAAACGTCCTCCTGTTGGTTAATTACTTTCTTATTAAATATTAATTTGTCTCATTACATTTTAGGATATTTTTAAAAAATAAAAGTGTTTTAAATGTGCCATCTTATTTATTTTTCTAGGCACTGTCTGAAGCCTGTGGTCAGGAAATAACCACTAAGCAAATGCTGCCCATTGTATTAAAAATGGCAGGAGACCAAGTAGCAAATGTTCGTTTCAATGTGGCCAAATCTCTACAAAAAATTGGACCAATTCTAGACACTGAGTAAGATTTTAGAGTTATTCTTGTTTTAAAAGTATATTTTAACTTTTATCTTACAGTGGGGAGTAATAGCTAAAATTAAGTTATTTTCCTTCAAAATTATTTAGTATATTTTTCAAGTTTATAAGTCTTGTAAAATATTTTTTTATTTTAAACTTTAAAAATTACCATAGAGCATATACACCATAAAGGATTTCTCTGGCCCACTAGACTGCCTTTCACAGGTAGTGCTTTTGAATTTCAGTGCTTTGCAGGGGGAAGTTAAGCCGGTATTACAGAAGTTAGGTCAAGATGAAGATATGGATGTCAAATACTTTGCACAGGAAGCTATAAGTGGTATGTATTTTTGTTTTCTGCCTTGCAAGCTTATGCTTTGGCGAGTGGTGTTAAGAGGGCAGGGTGATAAGTGTTAGCAGAGACAGGGAGGGTGGAAGTTCCTGGAATGGTGGTATCCCTCTTAGGTTGGAACCTTTGTGGCTCACCTTTCTTTCATAAGTGAACAGGCCATTTTCTCAGTTTCATGTAGATTGGGTAGAAATATGATTCTTACTGGTAAGAACAGTTTTTGGTTTGGGTTTTAATTAATTTTTAATGTTCGACTTCTGATTAGCCTGGCAGAGTGAAGAAACTGACCACAACGAGAAGTTCTTAATCTTATGTTTTTGGATCTTTGTTACTGTGCTTTAATGTGATATAGATGACTCATGAGCTTTCTGCACCACTAACTGATTTTGTTTGGAATTTTCCAGTTCTTGCGTTGGCATAATGAGGAACAAGAGGGAAAAGACTTTACTAAATTCTTATCACAGATTTCTAGTCATTGTGTTCTTAAACTGGGTGGAGAAAAAATGGAAAACCTTCAAGATCTCATCCAAGCAAAAAGCAACAACTTAGAAGACATCAAATTTCAGTGACTTGATTCTTTCTAAAGAAGAAATGGGGTTGTTTTTTACTCACCTTCCTTGTTGGGATAATTATTTAAGCCATTCTGATTGACCAATTCCTGACACTTGGTACAGTCATCTCTTGATTGTCTTCTAATGCTTTTCCGGCACTGTCTGGGCTCCTGAATCTTCATTGTTTAGTCAGGCCCTGGCCACTTAATATTCCAGACAAAGTCTGGATAGGTTTGTACCCAGACATGGAGTAGATTGATTCTCTTGATGTTTACATGTATCTTTGTGTCTCTTCATCATTACAAAGTTAAATGTACATGGTTTAGAATAACTTATTTTATAAACTATCTATTTGGGAGACACATCAGGATTTGACTGTAGTGAAAACCACATTTTCCTGGATTATGATGGTCTTGGATCAGTGTCTCACATGAAAGGAGAATGTGGAAGCTCAGGGTTAATGTACTGGTTATTTTGGTTTTTATTTGCTCTATTTTGACTGTAATCATGTCATTTAGAAACCTGAATGTGGATGCATCTTGCTGCTAACATGTGATGTTGAAACCTAACTGAATTTCAATGGCTTACCAATGTGACTGCATTCAAAAATACTTCTACCTACTTTTTCAACTATAAATTTTATGAACTCTAAATACAGAGGAATTAGATGTTGAAACCTAACTGAATTTCAATGGCTTACCAATGTGACTGCATTCAAAAATACTTCTCTCTCCCTTTCTCTCTCCCCTCGAGAAACTAACTTGAGTGTGTCCTAATAACTAGTAGTTCTACTGTTTCACGGTAAGATTGCAGTTTTGTGTTTTGAATGAGTATAGGAACCACTGGTATAATGCTTTGTGGTTTTCCTACTCTTTACCTGGTTCTGCTTCCAGCAATATTAGCATCTGGCCCTTGCTACATTGTACAGTATCTTTCCACACTGAAGTTTCATTGCTAATTTTTTGGGTGACGCTGGAATCTTATCATTGGAAGTGTTTGTTTTTCTACTTTTACAGTAAAACCTCATTAATTCCTCCTGAAATTTAAGATAATATGAGTTAAGCTGAAAGGTTTACTGAAGCAAATTAACAGTATATAAGGAAGCCTATTTGTACAACTTAGTTTTAAAACTCTCTTTTAAAAGTACCCATTTACCAATTGATAGCCAATTACCAGTCACTCTTTTCTATATTTTTTCTATATTTTATTATAGTACCTTCCATGAGGATCTCTAGAAGGCCACACCTTTTTTCTAGATGCATTCAATTTATTCTTTATCCTTGAAATGTATATCATACGTATTTCATGGAGAATTTAAATATTTTTTCTAAGTTTATTTACATTTTTCACCTATTCAAACTGACTCAGTGAGGTTTTACTGTAGCTTATTTTTCTCTCAGTGCATCTTGCTATGTAGTTTGCTTGTTTCCATTTTCCACATTTTTGAACTGTTGATTTCATTCACAACCTTTTTTTAAATCTAGTGAGCCCTGTTCTGTTATGTGTATATTAAATAATTATGTAAACCCAAGTTTGACTAAATACTCTCAAGTTTGGCTTACCTCAGAAAAACAGAACAGAAATTTTAAGTCAGAAATTATTTGCCTGCATTTTAAACTGCCAAATTACCTTATATTGTAAGTTTCTACTTTATGACTTTTTGGGCCAAGGATTAAATATTTTTCTAAGCAAAAATCTTTTCTACATTCTCACTTTAATATCTTAAACTGTTATGCTATAAACATTGAAATTTTAGTTTCATGGTTCTTTATTTTTTATTACCTGCAGGTTATGTTCCTCTTTATTGAATTTTATATTTGAAAGACTGTTGTCTTGATTCTTGAAACCAATTTGCACTGGAACCATTGCTTTACTCTTTGGTTGGAAAGGCCATTGGTTTAGGGTAGACTTCAAAATGGCCTTGTACACCTCCTGGGGAACCCTGTGAATTGACCTCTCTGTTCCAAGACTGTTAAAGGGAGTTACAGTGAGCTCTTACTTTCTCAAATGTGGGTTATGAAGCTCAGCAAAGCCACTGTCTTTTTGGGTGACCCCTTAGGGACGTCATTGTTTCTTTCTGACTTAAGCAATAGGGAATCCCTTTTGTTACTTCTCAGAGGAATTTTTCTTTGGCATATAACTTGGCTATTTACTCTACAGATTAGTTTTTCCTGTCTTGATTTCACTAGAATGTAAGCTCTAGGAGCTCTGTAGGGGCAGGCATTTTTGTCTGTTTTGTCTTCTGCCATATCACCAGTGCCTGGATGAGTGTCTGGTGTACATAGTAGATGCTCAATAAAAATGTATTCAATGAATGAATTTCTAAAATTTGTTCTCTGATGTGTTGCGTGCATGGAACAAGTCATCAAAGGTACCAGACTGTATCTCATTCTCTCACTGACACAATTAAAAAGATTTTTCTGCTCTTAGGAAACAAGCTTTATGTGTCCCTTCTCCAGTCCCCCAGCTTATACAATGGTTCCGTTTGGATTTATTAGAGCCTTGAATATACATTGCTCTTGTTTTTCCATCCTAGGCAGTTTAGACCAGTTGTTTGGTTGAGAAGGGAAGTGTAGCAGAGACACCCACACATACAACCTATGCCAATAAAGATGTCTTATCAACAATAGGATTCACCTTAGTATTTCTACAGTTTGCGTGCAGTTTACCCCTCGCGCATTTAAGAGACCAGCTCTTGTTTCTCCGTCTATACTGCCAAGAAGATATGAACTTAAAGATGCTTGTTTTATAAGAACAAACAGGTTAATGTGTGTTTTTTTGGTTAAAGTAATAGGCAACCCTTGGCTCATGGAAATACCACAGGTTGGCCACTGTGATGCAGGGCCCTGGGGGTCTTTGCTGGACAGCTTGTTCTGACTCAACAGAACTGTCTCCTCTAAGCATTCGAGATACTTGCAGACCTCCAGGGGAAACAGACATGTCACTCCTGACCCAGTGGTTAAGCTGTATCAGTGTTTTCTTGTAGAAGTTTTGTTCCTTTATTAACCACTGTGTTGACACTGAGCTGAAAGTCTGGTACTTTCCGGTAGAAATCACACTGGTTCCCTCCCACCAGGGATGGCAGGACAGGGTGGCCATGCACGTTGGGTGCTTGTCCTGTCCTCTTGCTTTTTAACTTAAGTTCCTCTGGCACTTTTTTCTTCTGGCATTCCTGTCCTAAAGCCTCCTGTTTCTCCAGTGCTTGGATGTAGAACTCGTTTAACAGATGAGGTGATGGCCATCTGATGTTACATAATTGTTTCCCTTTGGTTCCCCAGTATTCCCATTTCCATCCTGTCCCTTGCTCCTCTTTTTCCTATTCCCTCACATGTCTCCAGTCCTTTTCTGTACCTAGAATAGTCTCACTATTCCCTGTTTGCCTCCACAAATCTGCTGTTTCCAGGAAATTACATAATGTTTGGTAGATGGAAATCTGGAGGATGGAGAGAGTTTAATTACTCACTGGGTAGAAAAAAAGCGAAGTCATTTCTTTCTTTGGAGTTTTCTTAAACTGATACTACCAGTTGTGAAAGGAGTCTTCTCGTCTGGGTGGGGTTCTATAGGCTGTCAGTGACCAAGATGTAGGGAGCACCCAGCTGGGCACCACAAGGCCCAGCGGGATGGCACTTCCCAGGGCTCCTGAGAAAAAGACATCGAATAAGGTCCTAGGGTGAACCGGCCTTCGCTGCCCAGGGTCCTGTGTCCTCAGAGGTTGCCGGGCTTCCCACGCTGGTGCTGGAACTAGTGAAACCATCCTGGTCAGGAAGTATGAGTGGGATTGGGAGGGATGTGCCCTGATCAGGGACAGTTACAGCGCTGCTGTCTGTATCTCTAGTGGTGGCGCAAAGGCTGAGGAAGCTAGATTTTCCCATGAAGGACAGTGAAGAGCCCAGTGTCCCTGAGGCTAAGAACCACTTCCTGAGACCCAGAGTGCCTGAAGAGGACACTGGGAAGGTAAGTGCCCCAGAAGCATGGGGCCCAAGTCCTGCCCCCCGCAGCACTGCCTGGTGCTACAGGGGGTTGCAGCAGGATAGGCAGAGAAGCAGTCCCTTGTACTGTCCCCGAGGAGACAGTCAGGTTTTAAGGGCCAGGAGAGTATAATTTTTTAATTCTTGTTTGGCAGCTGACTGGTTAAGGGGATCCGAACCCTTGGCCTTGGTATTATAATGGAGAGTATAACTGGTCAGGTGCCCTGTTTTACTTCCTTCATTCTCGGAATGCTTTACGAGGGGTGGGCTCGCTGGCCACAGCTTGTCATCCCGTGGTTTGAGGCCTGTTGAATCTCCGTCTCTCCCTAGTGAGGGACAAGGAGGCCCAGGCAGAAGACAGAGGGGTGATGTGGTGAAGAGTTGCTTGTAGAAACAGGCTGTTCCCCTTTTCCTCACAGAACGCGGAATGTTACTTGCCACAGCTCCTCTCAAGTAGTCATTTCTATCCAAGATAGGAAGCGCTTCCGTGATTTGTGACTTACAAATACATTCAGAAACGGAGCGTGGAGGGTGTCGGCCGCCGGGTGCTGATGCCAGGCTGCATTTAGTTTATCGGGAAGAATTTGGCATTTTCATATCCACTCTGGTAGATTTTCTTGGCGAAAACACTAACATGGAAAAGTTTGTCTTTTAAATTTTTGTCTTTTCATTTTGTGTGAATTGAGGCAATGAAAACTGTTCCTGTTGTCCAGACCCTGAACTGTGGTCACTCCTCTGAGAATGTTCTTGCCATTCCCTGCAGTGGCTGCACGGTGGGAGGAAGTGCTGGTGACTGACGCTGCTCACAGCCTCCGCAGCCCCTGGGCTCTGACGGACAGAGGCCTGAGGTGGCCAGCGCTCTGCACCCTTATGTCCACTTCGTAACCTGGGCCTTAGGAAAGAGGTTGGCTGAAGGAGTGGGAAGAATGGTTCTATTTTCTAGGCCTAAATCACACACTACTTTGGGAAGAAAGGAGTTACATATTTCTACAAATTCGGGGCTCACTGCCCATGCCATTCAACGCCTGCTATGCTCCTGACCTGAGGTGGGTCACGGGGGCATCCCCACAGCCAGCGTGCTCAGCTCTGAAGAAGGCTGCGTGCTGGGCCTTTGCCAGTTGAGGAAACAGTATTAGCTTGAGCCTTGGGGACGCTGCAGCGCCTCATCAAAAAAAAGCACTTGACAAAACCTCATTTAATCCTCTCAACAACTCTAGGTGGTGGGTGCTGTCATCTTCATTTTTCAGGCGGTCGTGAACCTCCCTCTACCTGTCATGTCTTCTTGCGAGTCTGTTTTCTAGAAACCCAGTGGTGCCAGGAACCCAGGTCTCTGGAGCGGCAGTTCATTTAACCGAGAAAAATCCCCTGCCCTGTGACCTGGGAGCCTTCCCTGCATTTGTTTCACTTAAGGAAAATGACCCGAGGGTGAGATTTGAAGGGAATTGGCTGTTGCCAGGCAGAGCCCTGTGTGTCAGGTGCCAGCAGCCAAGTGAGTGATCCAGGAAGTCATCCAGTGGCAAACCAGAAATTGTTTTTAACCCCTCACTGTCTGTGGTGCATAGCAAACTCACTAATCTGTCCAAATGTTGTCAGAGTGAACGCCTGGCTGCTGAAAGCCCTGGGAACTGTCCTCAGCCCTTGGTCAGCCTTAGGGCCCTGTGGGAGCCATTTGACATCTCAGGGCTGGGCCTACCACTTGGTCCAGGAGAGAATGGCCCAAGGGGTGAGAGCCAGTTCCTCTTGGTGAGGGGTTCCTCCTTGATTCCTTGAGACTGACCCTTGAATCTGCAGAGCTGTGTGCTTGGTGTCACACATGTCCCCCCCATGCAGGACCTGCCAGGGAGCAGCCTGGGTCACCTCCCACCCCCTGCCGCCCTGGGTCAGCTCAGCTGCTCCCTCCTGGACCATCCACAGGTTGCTGACAGCTACTGGCAGGCCCCTGTCAGACGAGGGTTAATAGGATTTGTTTATTGAGTCACGAAGTAGCTGTCACATGATTTTAATCAAAACACCATTTCCCTGACAACAGTGATGTCAGTCTTGTTATTGCAGGAAGGAGCAGCTGTGAGGGACATTCAGTCTCCATGCCGAGCACAGGTTTGGAGACCCAAATCAAGTGGAGCATCCGTAAATAACAGTGCAGACGCCGACTTAATGAACCCCCTCCTTGTCTTCCTTCTCTTTGGCCGGACAGTCTGTCTTGTGGAGACACTGAGCAGAGCCCAGTCCCTGCACCCTGAGTCTCAGCTAAGACCTCACCTGCACCCCCTGCTCCTTCTGCTTGTGTTTCTACTTCTGGTTTTTCCTAATTTTCTTATCTTCCCCAAACTCAGAGACTCACTTGGCCCCTAGAGTCTCTGGCCTGTGCCTTCTGGCATCTGTCCCTTCTTTGGATCTAAACTAGCACTTGCAGGTGAACCAGGCTGTTCTGGCTCGTATGAGGTGGGGGCTGCTCTACAGCTCAGGAATCTTGTCTTGTCATAGAGCCAGCTTCTGGGGGCAGGGGAGGACTGCTTGTCCACATCTCTCCTGAGAGAGCAGGTTAGAGCTCGGCTGTTGTTGCCTAAAAGGTAGAAGCTCCTCAAGGGTCCGACCTCTTGGCCAGAAGGTTAGTTCTCTTGAACCAAGAAAGACTACATGTCGGGTTAGGGCTCACAGACCCTTCAAACCCGTCCTGTGCAGATTGGGTTATAGACCCCTCATATGCAGGTCCCGAGCGAAGTCATTGGAGAAAGACCTTGGGAGCCACTGACAAGGTTGACAGGCTTTATTCGGATGCGAGCTCAGCCTCCAGCAGTAGCAACAGCTTCCTAGTGGCCTCCCAGGGGCGGCCTGGGGACACTGTGGATCAGAGCCGTTTGTCCTTTATACTTAAGTCAGGCAACCGAGGGACACATGGGTGCGACTCAGATAAACAAAGAACACCTGGGCGCACGTGCACAATTACATCAGAAATAACCAAGGAACACCTGGGCGCACGTGCACGATTAACGTATTTACATTAAACAGGCTAGGTCATGCTCAGCAAGATTCTGAACATCTGAGGGAGCCTGACCATTTGTTTTCATTTTCCTTACACTACAGGAGGCCTGAGCCCAGTCTGAGGACTGACAACAAAAACCAAAGCTCAGGCACACTTGATCTCATCCCCAGTGACCCTCCAGCTAAGGGAATTGGATACTGAAGTCCACTGAGAGGTCAGAAGTAGGCTGCTCACAGGGCCAGCTGGGGCAGTGTCCACAGTCTCCGGCTTCCTCTCGGTACCTTCTCCACTGTGGAGACTTGGGGACTGGGCAGCTGTCTCAGCACAGAAAGACTCCGCCATGCCTTCTAACCCTTCTCCACCGAGGAGCTTAAATGAAAAGTTGGGGATGAAAGAGGCCTCCTAGATAGGACATAGATTCTCCGGGATGTTCTTATGTTTGTGGTACCTATGGCTGGTGCTGCCAAGGACTCATCTCTGAAAATTCAGAAATCCTGGAGCAAAGCTCTTAGTTCTTAACCTCGAACAGGTGCTCAGAATAGGGCAATTTCCCTTTAAGAGAGGTTTCACAGGCACCACACAGCCCATTTTCACAGCTAGTGTTGGGACAGTCAAGAGTTCAGTTAAAGCAAGACAGGTAGAGTAAGATGTTATGATAAGCCATTGGGAGGCTGGGGGAGTCTTCTGGGTGCTTTCATGTTAGAGGGCAGTGCCATGCCAGGCTGCACTTGAACCTCACAATAAGCCGAGGAGTGAAGTCAGCCAGTCTGTGTTCCCAAGTTACCAGTGGAGATAACGAGCCTTTGCAGTGACTTGCCTGGGTTAGTGGTAGGGCTGGGAACGGCACCAGGGGCTAAGGGTTTGGTCAGAGGTTCCTTTCTGCCTCCCAGGCTGTCCTTGGCAGAGAAGAGGAAGGCATTAGCCTGCCTGGAAGGCCTTTCTGGCCAGGGTGACTGCACCCTGGGGTGGGATGGGAGAGCTGGGCTCTGTTCTCCCAATCTTCTTGTCTGGCTCTTTCATCCATGGGCCCCCTCCAACAGCTCCCCGTTGGCCCTCAGTTTGCTGGCACAGGGACCCTGCTAAACATTTGGGCTTCTCTGGTGACCAGAAGGCAATTCTAGTGGGTCCCAGACTGAAGAGACAGGCTAGGCTGGGAACTCAGAGCACTTTGCATGAAGTGCTTCAGGAAAGGCCTTGGTGGCTTTTCTTAGGTTCACTTGTGTCCTGTCGCCAACTATGCAGGTGGCTCTGGGGTGGAAATGAACGTTCTCCTCAGAGTCACAGTTCTCAGGCCCCCTTTTGGGCATCTCAGGCCCCATTTTTCCCTGACTTTGGGAAGTGAGGAGGGAGAATGAGTCAGAAGCTCTTCAAAGTCTACCTGAGGTGGAGAGTGACTCAGTTTTCCCACTGAGAGGCCTCATTTCCTCTGGGCCAGATTTTCTGAACTTTCTGCCCAGCTGGCTCTTGGGGGCTCGGTTCTCCACTTCCCATGGTGCAGTGCCCTCCCCGCTTCCTTCCAGGCACCTCTCCTGCTGGCTCAGCCGGTACATGCTTTACCCTTTACCCCAACTTGGAAACTCTCTTTGCTAATTTTAGATCAGCTCTGAGTCAGTCATCCCTAGGAAAGCCCCCTAGAAACATATCCAAATGGAGGGATTGGTGCTCCCTAGAGACACTTGAAGCTCTAGGTTCAGAGGAGTTCCGTTGCATTGGTGGCTGGGACATCCGCAGCAGGACAGCTGTTAGGAGACCAGTGGCTGCAGGACACAGCAAGCTCCCCACTCTGCCTGACCTCAGGTTTGGCCACAGTGATTTGTGGTCATAGCTTCCTACCTGGGTGGAGGCAGATACACCAGCATGGCTCCATGTCTGAGGGAGGGGCCAACCCCTTCACTTCAGTCAAGACCCATGTCTGTCTCCTAAGGACCATTGCCCAGGATAATCCATGTGCAATATTCCATACTTGGCACTGCTCAGTCTTTGAAGTCACTGGCTGGGACTGAAATGAGAAGGGCAGAGCCTGATCTTGTCAGCCCCCAGGGCAGAGCAGCCATAGCCATGTAGTAACCCAGGATTTAGTGCAAAAAGCCCAGAACTTTCTCCCACAATGCCCTGCCCTTGGGCTACAGGCAGATCAGGAGGCTTTGCCTTACCTGGACCCACCCAGGGAGGGATTAGAACCCTCCCCCTCAGCAGGGAGGGTCCCTGTGAGAACTAACTCTGGAAAGTGTGGAGGCCGAGTCAGGTGTTCTTAATCTTGGTTCATAGATGGGCCTCAGGGGGTCCAGGAACCAGCCCCTCTCCTGAAATCAATTATATGTCACAAGTTGTGTGTCTATGTACGTGTTTTCTGGGAAGAGTCAAATGCTTTTCTCAGCATGTCAAAGGGATCAATTTAAGAAGTAGTGGGGCAGAAAGGAGGTGCTTGCCAAGATTAGAACCTTAGGCCCTGTTCATGCCTTGCCCTGCGTGGTGATAGAGCACTTTAGATGTGTGGGCACTACCGGCTAGTTCCATCCCTGCCCGGGTCTGGAGCACAGGCCTCCCTGGTCTCATGTGTCTTCCCCACCCTGTGCAGAGCCTTCAGCTCAGGAGACCACGGAACTGAAGGATGTCCTGAGGAGATTAGAGATCTGGGGCCTGCCTGGCTGCTGAGGCTCTGGCCAGTCTCTGCTGGCAAGTCTGTTATTTTTGCCTATAACTTGGGGCACTGGGGATGTTTTTGGCAATACAGGATAAAAATGATGGATAAATTTGGTGAGAAAAGGGAAAGTTTGCAAAACATCGTTAGTGAAATGTGCTTTCCTTAAAAAAAAAAAAAATGAAACGCAGTGATGCTGAATTGTTGGGTAGCCAAGGGGAACTGGCATTTCAGGGCAGGTGTGGGCGCCTGGTAGTGGTGCGGGGCCACAGTCGATGGTAAGGGCTCCGCTCGCTTCTAGCCCTCGGAGCCGTGGGCTCTGCCTACCGCACCCTCCTGTGCCAGCTGCGTGGCCAGCAGATTCCTGTTTGGGAGCTGTCTCAGTTCTATAGCATGGGCTTGACAGGAGTAGTGTGAAACCAAATCTCAGTTGAACATGCTACCAGAAAGCAGGGTTTCATACTGCTCTTTCACTCAGTCTGGCACTAAAACACGTCCAGATCGGATGAGAGAAGCTCAGCAAATGGATGCTTCAGCACCCCGAGGGCACCGAGTTGGTCTCAAAAGGGTGCCTGTGAGGGAGTCCATCGTGTGCATGCGTGCATGTAACGTGGAGGCCTTTGGCGAGCCCCAGAGAAGATGTGACATCGTGACTAAATAGCAGTGTCTTTTGCTGGCCTTTCTGGCAGCTCAGAACACCTCCCCTCCCATTTCCGCCCTTTGCCCTGCAGCTTGCCTGTCCTTAGGGAGCACAACGAGAGCCCTGCATGCCTGCCTCCCCTCCTCCTCCTGCAGCAGAAGGCCCTTGCTCACACGACCTGGGCAATGGGCTTTGCCCTGAGACTCTAAAAAGCAAGGAACATTAATTAGGCAGTGCCCAGCAGGGCCCTGTCCGTGTGCAGGCTGTGATTAGCAGTGCTTCCGTCAGCGACCTGCAGCGGCTAACGTGTACTTGGGTGACTGAGAGCAAGGTATTATTTACCCAGCTGACGTCAATGAGAACATATTATCCACTGTCCTTTTCTGCAGCCTGAAATGAGCACCAGAGCTCAGAGAACAGAGCCACCTTCCATAGTTTTAAAATTCCACCCAAAGCCTGATGAGGTAAAGGCCCTGTCTTATTAGCCTGACATTCATATCACCCAGGCTCTTAGAAAACAAGTTGTTTTTATTTTAATTCAAGAGGGTTGGAAACATAAAAACAGTACATTTTCCTTGCAGAAAATTACCCCATTTAAATTACTGTTTGGTACAAATATCATTTATTAAACTTCACTTTGGGCAATTTTCTAACATTGAATGACAGGTTACACTTTGATTTTTCTCACATTGGAGCTATTATGATTTGCACTCAAAATACCAAAGCTATTAAACTCACCAATTTTTTCTTAGTAATTAAAAAAAAAAACCACACAAAAAATAACTACAATTAGATTAACTTTATCAAAAGAAACTCTTTCACAGACCAAACATCCAGCAAAGACCACCCTCCTCCCTTCAGAAAAAAGCAAATAATCTTGCCCTTTCTACAAAGTGCAAATATCTCTGTATCACTTTTCTAAAATTGCAGTCCTCCAAAGAGAAGCAAATTTCCTTTTCTCTCTGTTTCTTTCCTCTTCAGAGATTTGGTGAAGGCAGATATCTTTTACCATTAGTAGTGGGAAGGTATCACCACTTGAATTTCCTTGACTGAGCAAATCTTGAACAGATAGGCATCACACAGCCAGTGGCAAATCCTAGTTATCTGCATTTGCTAATCTAACATTATTCCCTCTGGGGTCATATTTTTCCAGGATGTTGTTTTGTACATCTATTTTTAAAGCTCCTCCATACCTACCCACTTTGGCTCTGAAAAGACAAAGTATTCACCCAAAGCATGTTATTATTATTTTAATCCTAAAAGTGTCTAATGAGTAATTGATGAGACTTTAAAGAAACTATTCCCCCTCCTCGGAACAAAGTCTGAATTTGTGATTCTTCTCAGAGCAGCCCCCTTTCCTGGGGTTGAATCTGTTGGCCTGCTGTGGAGGGCTAATAGGTACAGTTTGTCCCTTGGCAATCAAGGAGGGTGTGTCCTTCCATCACATACTTCTATAGGAAATTACTATATTGTGTAATTTGGAAAAATTAGTTACCTTTGATGTGAGCCTAGACTTCGATAGTTAACTGGACACTGAAAGGATGGCCAATTTGTGGGACCCGTGTCTCTGTTGGCCTTGTTCAATGCAGGGCCACCTGGACAGCCACAGTTGTCACTTGAAGGGCACCTCTCCCCGAAAGCCAGGCAGCTGTTAAGTGGAGAATAAGGTTGTGGGGACAGTCACATTCACCCAGTGCTTGACCAAAATGGGTGCTTTGTTTCTCCAGCTGTTTTCTTATGAAAAGAGTGAGTTGTTACTGAGGATGGGGGAGAGGGCTTCTCACAGAACAAGAAGCCAGAGAACCAAACTGAGAAGCCAGCCACCCAGATGCTTGTCCTGGCGCCTCACTCGTGAGGTCTGTGACCTTGGACAGGTCAAAACTTCTGCGAGTTTTGGTTTTCTCAACTGTGAAAAATAAGGATAATACCTACCCAACTAATTTCATATGACTGTTGCGAGTATTAGAAGAGATGACTTGTGAAAGTGCTTGGTAAATTAATGTCTAAGTCTAAGCTGTTGCCCCTTTTGGCCAGGCAAGCTGGGTATTTGGGCAGCAGCCATGAAAACCGTCACTGGTTACATCTAAGGGCAGTGCTGCTGCCTGTTTCTCAATCTGCAGCCGTGCATGCCCGAATCTGCCAAATCTGTCAAAATCCGCCCAGATAAGATGTAAACATAAGGTGGTGTTGCAACTCAGAAGACTGAGAGTCTTCTCGAATCAGCTGGGCTACCTTCCTTGGAAAGACTGGTAAACAAATATGTGACAGAGCGCTGGGAAGTCAGAGGCTCTAAGGGTCACGGAAGGCCACTGCCTTCGTTGGTCCTTCGCTTTCAAGGCGCAGACAGAAAGAGCTCCGTTATCACAGTCCCTTCCCTTGGCCAAGGGCCAGGGAGGACCACACTATGGAACCTGTCAGAAGGGATGTATACATTTTTAAAAATACGTTTTTGTCCAGTTTAGAAACAGAGGCAGATGATACTGCCCTTGTCTTCACACATCACTCTGAAGGTAAGTTCTGTAAAAAATTTCCAGAAGTAACAAAATGATCTAAGACCCTGCCTGTACAAAGACTCCAACTTACTACCTGTTCTCTGGTTTTTACCTTTGATGTCTAGGCACAAAGAGACCGAGCGGCTCGGGTGGCTTCCAAGGAGGCAGTAGAGGCAGCCCAGAGTAGGGCTCTGGGCTACAACTGCAGCAAAGGTCAGCCCCAGCACAGGGATTCTGCAACTGTTCACCGGGACCTGTGTGGTCAAATGACACTACATACTGCCTCTAAAGGAGGAGTGTGAAAAAGTTATCTGGAACATGAGTTTTCTTTAAACCAATAGGGAGCTTAACTGTAACTGTTTATGCATGTTTTTAAATATAATCCAGAGCAGGAAAAAAACCTCTGACCCCAATATATGTAAGAACCTAGGGCTTGACTAGAGGTTGGGGGACCCCTGGAAAGGAAGCAACACTCACTCACTGCGTCCCCCTGTGCTGAACTGCTTGCACCTAACCAGAGGATGTTCTAATGCCCCCACACCAGGCACCCTTGACCAACCCTAACTAGAATCCTAACTAGTTGCTTTTCACCTTTCTTTAGTTTCCAGTTGATCACCTAATCACTCTCTAGCTAAGAGTATACTTTTCTTCCCAAATCTAACAACCAGACCAAATTCTTTAAGGGTTTCCCTGCCTTTAAGGGCATGAGCAGAGGTGGAGGCAGGGTAGAGGGTGATACTCCTGCAGGGTGGTCCCCTCTCCCTACCCATAACAGCACAGACCCCCCCTTACTCCAGGGGCAGACTCAGGAAGGAACACGAGAGGCGAGGGCTGACTTTAGTACTGATCACAGGCTCCTGCCAGTCCCACCTCACCGACTGCAGGACACAGTTTAAACACTCAAGAGTTCTTTATTTCTGAGGAAGAAAGGGCTGCTGACTTTCTCTTTCTTGGGAGGCAAAGTTTGATACAGAAAGGAAGAGGTTTTCCTTATATCAGCACTAATAGTCCTTTAAGCCTCATCTCTAGTCCTCCTGGTGGGCCCCAGTTATATCCCATTCAGTGGATTCTGGGGGGTTGGTGGTGTAGAGAGCCATCCCGTCCCTTCTCTGTTCCCAAGGTGGGAGGTGGGTAGTGCAGGACTGACTAGCCAGGGCATAGGAGGTGAGAGGATGGCTGGGGGTGGCCAGCATAGCTCAATGGGAATTTAAAAACGGGTCATCCACCCTCTTTCTATTGTGCTAACATGCTTTTTGCCTTACAGGGGCCAGCTTATCGGTTACATGTAAATACTAGAGACACACTTGCCCAGCTGGAAATTGCAGAACAAGTGCATTTTTCCCAAAGCAGAGACTAATACCCCTGGATTAAAAAAAGAACACAAACAAAAAATAAAGAAGGTACCACACATATTGCACTGTTTGCTGAATGAAATTTTTACCTCATATTCATTTCACCAAAAGTCTCTTCAGAGGAACCTGGTTTATAAGATAATAAAGCTAATGATTATTATACAGTAGTGTACACACTGCTAATGTGAAACAGACTGGAAAGCAAGTCAGTATTTCAAAGTAGCCTTGTAAAGGGAGTGGTACTCAGCCTTGTTAGTGTCAGTTTAGTATTTATGAAGCGGAAACTGCTCAGAAGCTTCCATCGCTAGTTAGTTAGAGAAGGGAGCAAGAGAAATGATCAGACAGGGCTAGGCAAACTGTTTGGCTAACTGACCAGCTCACATTTCAGCAAATACAGATGGCTATGGAATTTACTGATTTCTACTTGAAATAAATGAGATAAACAAATAGGAGCTTACAGCACAGGCTCCAGCAGGAGGGGTCGTGCTCTTCCCCAGGTGAGTGTCTAGGCCACCGCTGTGTCTGTCAGTTCCTAACAGGGCTGGCTGCTGCTGGCTGCTTCCTGATTTCTCTCTCTGGGTTCTCTAACCTCCTAACAGCCTCTCCATGGTCCCTCGTCTGCTGGCCTGCCTATCCTGCCGTAGCTCCTGGGTTTCCCGGGCCGGAGTTTATGCCGATCTGTAACTGTGCCATTCCTCAGTTCTGAAAGGAGCGGCCCTCATTTTCAATTGGGAAGGCATATTAATTTTGTAAATATTGCAGCACTTCTGTAGTATATTTTGGGAAAACATTCTCCTTCCGTCTAAAGAAATCAAGCCTTGTTTATAACTGGCTTATTTTGCAGACTTAAAACAGATTCGAGATCTTAATGAAATGATCTCAAATGAAATGATGTTTCTCACAAAATCATCAGTCTTAAGCACAAGGAGAAATAAACAACCCACAGAAGGAACATAATTCATTCTTACTGGATTTTCACTTTTCACCGCATGTCATTAAATCACAAAAACGACAGTCCCCACCCTTTCCTGCTGACACCCAAAGTCCAACCCCAAGCACAGCATTTCTGCCAAGCATCCAGGCTCCAGTGTGGAGCCCCGGTCACTATGCAGTTTCTGGTCAGCAACAAGGACTGCTCAAGTTACCAATATTGGGAAGAACTGGGCTGGGGTGGCCGAAATGGAATGCCCTAGACTTTCCATGCTTCCCCTCACCTGCATGGACACTTACTACAAAGAGGAAAGGCAACTTAAAGGTGTTTTCTAGATGCAGCATCTGTGTAGTATCTCTCTTCTTTGTGCTTTAGGAAGATGCTTTGTGCTTAAAGCATTCATCTGTTGATAGGACAAGCCATTCTAAAGGACAGAACATACAATCTTTTAAATAATACTGAATTTGTAACACCTGGATGTTACTGTCCCAATGACAGATTACTCATAATTCTAGATATACAGTTATAAAGCTGTAGCATCTACTTTTTACTTACTTTTATGAATGAATTGTAAGGGTTGGTTAAGTTTTATTAGTAATATAACTTGCTTGGCAGATGATCTGCTTAAATGATTAACATATCTGTGGTTCTCTGAATATTGCTATAATACTTAACATTTCATTACAAGTCAAAACTTTAAGGAAATTAAGAATGCTGATTCCCACATGGTGGAAAACAAACTCTGAAGTGACTTTGGATTTAGCATTGACATAAATGGATAACTGTCGGTTTCTACAGAAAAGAAAGAATTAAAGCCTGATCTGAGGGAAAGAAGGCACAGCACTACCACTTCACATGGGACATAAAAGTTCATTTGTTGTGTCCTTAAAATTTCTAAGCCCTATATGAAACTGTCCAAATATGCAAAGCTCAATAAACTACTAGCAACATATAGTGTAAAGTCAAAGTAGTTATTGTAAAAGAGACAATACGTCCTCTGGAGACCGACTGCCCCCAAACCAGAAGTCTCTACAAGAGACTGTGCAGGAAGAGCCTGTCTTCCCTGGCCCAGGGTGGAGCTCTTGATGCTTGCTTGAGTTTCTTGCCCCCGGCCTCGACTGTGGTTGGTCTTGTGTCGGTTCTATGGGTGACATCTTTGAAGCCCTGAGTATATTCTGACACTCACTAACCCAGGGGCACCTTCTGAAGAGGTGTGTCACCTGCTCCCAGGTGGAGATGGGTGCCAGTCTCAGGGGTCAGTACCAGCTGTTATTTAATGGCCCTTGAAACAGAGTTCACACTCCACTGCTTTGTAGCAGACTTGGGGACAACTTGCATCAGCAGCTAAGAACTTATGATTCAATGACAAAGTACAACTTTCCTTTATTTCCTGTGCATCATATTTCAGTCTTGGTCTGCCTTGAAGCAATATGTTGTTACTCAGCTTCAGTGAAAAATATATTGCCTTTTTTTTTTGCCCCTGTATATGCAACGGCACACATTTTTACTTTCACCAAGGTTTCCCATGATAAAATAAACTGGTGTAATTCTGCATAAAACCTACGTCTGAATGGCTTCTACTGATAGAAACATTTGTT